TTTCATTAAACCACTCTCTCCTGGAAGTAGATGTTCATCCCAGAGTGGCTTGGCATTCAGTCCCTCCTCCCCAGCTGGCCTGCAGAGTCTTGGTAGGCAGTGCAGGCCAGTGCTCCAGAGGTACTGGGGATGGAAGGTCATGAGGTTAATCCTCTTCCAGCATTTACTATCCATGCACCCTCTAAACCTTGCTTTCTTATCTGTGAACTTTTTCATCTGAGGAAGGGCTGCTGGCAGGGAAGGGCCAGAGACCCAGGCCCAGTTAGCCAGACCCTTCCCAGTACAGTCTGGTGACACCATTGAAAAAGGCCATGTCTTCTCATCTTGTTGCTGGCCTGTGATCCTGGGGCTGCTTGCCTCATGGAAAGTGAGAGAGGGAAAGGGAGATAGAAACTTGGCAACCTGGGCTGAGCTAGGTTATAATAATACCTACTGTGAACTGGGAACCATAATAATACCTTCTATGTTTTTTTGTTGTTTGTTTTTTGAGACAGAGTCTCACTCTGTCGCCAGGCTGGAGTGCAGTGGCGTGATCTTGGCTCACTGCAACCTCCACCTCCTGGGTTCAAGCAATTCTCCTGCCTCAGCCTCCCAAGTAGCTGGGACTACAGGCACATCTCACCACACCCAGATAATTTTTGTATTTTTAGTAGAGACGGAGGTTTCACCATGTTGGCCAGGATGGTCTGGATCATCTTGACCTCATGATCCTCCCACCTTGGCCTCCCAAAGCGTTGGGATTACAGGTGGAAGCCACCGCACCCGGCCTACTGTGGGTTTTTTAGGAGGTGGGAAGTTTGTCTTTTACTTTTTTTTGAAACTACAAAATACCTTAGACATCCAAAATGGAAGTGATAATATATACCCCACCAGCAGCTTAAGAGAGAAAAGGTTGTAACTGATGCACTCCTGCCCCAGTGCCATTCCTCTCCTCTCCTTACCAGGGGTAACCATTCCCCCAAGTTTCATGTAGATTAAGACTTGGAAAACTTTCTGGAAAGGGCCAGATGGTAAATACTTGCACCTTTGCAGGCCACATGGTCTGTGGCAAGTATTCCACCCTGTCCTTGGAGTACAAAGGCAGCCATAATCGATATGTGAAAGAACAAGTGTGGTGATATTCTGGCAAATTGTATTTATGGACACCGAATTTGAATTTCATAAAGTTTTCAGGTGTCACAAAAGAGTGACCTTCTTTTGATTTTTGTTCAACTATTTAAAATTGTAAAAACCATTCTTAGCTCACAAGCCACACAAAAGCAGGTGGTGGGCTGCACTTGGCCATGGGCATAATCTGCCAACCTTGGTATATATCATTCCCATGCATATTTTAATACTGCAATTCCATACGCGTGTCCATATAGAGTATTGTTTAGTGGGCCTTAAAATTTCATATAGAGTATTATATGGTAATTTTGCTTCTACAGCTTATCACTCCTTTTTAACATATTTGCTGAGATTTATGTGAGTTATTACATGTAACTTCAGTTGATTCATCTTAAGTGCTGTATAGGAACTCACTATATGACTTTACCACGACTTATATGTAGGCTTATTTATAGGATTTCACTACAGGAATTCGCTGCAACTATTTATCCCCTCTCCTCTTGGTGGACATTCAAGCTGTTCTCTATTTTTACAAACAATGCTGCAAGGAGCACCTTCTGCAGGTGCACCAACGTTGCTGTAGGATTGCTCTTCCTAATAGAAGTCCATAGTCATAGGGTGTTTACTGGTCACCTAAAGCCGGGAAGGAAAGGGCTCAACATCATACCCAGCACCTGTGTGTCAAGTCACTGACAGCTCCTGTTCCTCTGGAGCCCCTTCAAGCACCAGGCAGAGGAACGAGCATAAGTGCTTAATATACACCTTTTCACTTAATTCAAAAAGACAGTGTGTGGGGAGCAAGGGGAGGGAGAGCATTAGGACAAATACCTAATGCATGTGGGGCTTCAAACCGAGATGACAGGTTGATAGGTGCAGCAAACCACCATGGCACATGTATACCTATGTAACAAACCTGCACGCTCTGGACATGCATCCCAGAAATTAAAGTAAAATTTTAAAAATAAATAAATAATAAAAATTTAAAAATTTTTTTAAAAGACTATCATAGAAAAAAATCTGTGGGGCAAACAATGGGACCCATGAATGATCAAGGAGAGAAAAAGCTAGTTAGATCAAAGTCTCCAAGAATGGCTTTTTTAAAAAGCAACATAGGGCTTGAAGTTGGGAGGGATGGATGGAAAACAAATGCTTCTGATGAAGGCACTGACCTAAGTGGGCTCCAAGGTGGAAATGAACATGCCATGTGCAAGGAAATCCAGGAGACCAAGCTGGCTGGAGCATTTGCAAAGTTTTTTTGGCAGGCAGTGCTCCTGATTTTGCTCCTGATTTTGAGATGCAGGCTGATTTTGAGATGCAGTGCTCCTGATTTTGAGATGCAGGCTATCCCACACATCAATATTTTCTCTTCACCCACCGTCCTGGTGATGTATCCTGTCCCCATCTCCCTCCCCTTCTTCCCAGACTCCTGTGGAGCCAGGCACCCTGGGTATGTGGGCTCTGTGGCTTGCTGGCCTTGTTACCTAGATCACATTGTGTAACCACTCTGAAATTTCATTTATATGATGGGTAAATGGAGTTGATCATGCCTCCACTCACCCAGCTGTTATAAATATTGAAGGGATCGCCTACCTTAAGTTACTCTGTAAGCAGGAAAGTATCCTTCCTGCAGACCTGCGCCACCATCATGTCTGCTGTGAAGTTTCTATATAAACATCTGGAGTACAGCTGGATGCAAAATCTGAAAGGATACCATCAAGCCATAAGCAAGAACATTTCATTTAAAATGGAAGCTTCAAGGCTGGGCACAGTGTCTCATGCATATAATCCCAGCACTTTGGGAGGTCAAGGTGGGCAGATCACCTGAGGTCAAAAGTTCAAGACCAACTTGAGCAACATGGAGAAACCCTGTCTCTGCTAAAAATACAAAAAAGCCAGGCAGTGGTGGTGCATACCTGTAATCCTAGAGAACTGGGAGGCTGAAGCAGGAGAATCGCTTGAACCCAGGAGGCAGAGGTTGTGGTGAGCTGAGATTGCGCCATTGCAGTCCATCCTAGGCAACAAGAGCAAGACTCCATCTCACTAAATAAATAAATAAAAATAAAATGAAAGCTCCAGCCACGGGTACTCTGACTTCTGTGATCCTGGCCCTCTTCACAACTTCTCCCCCATTGCCATGCAGACAGAAAGACTAGATAGGACTGATGGATGGGCATCCAGAGAGTTGGTGGCAATTGTTAAGGTTATGTCCAGAACTACTGCCATGCTGCTCTGGGTTTGGGCAGGACAACTTCTCTCTCTGGGTTAAATGTGAATGGCTCAGAAATACATGCTAAAAGTTCTCTCCAGGACCTTTCCCAGGTCAGGGCTAGAATCTTGGAAGACAGAATCTTCAAAATGGAATTTCCACACCCTAAGTGCTACACATGATGAAACACTGGGGTGTGAGGAGTAAATATTCAAGCTTCTACCTTCGGTTTTCTAATATATAATTACATTTGTTTTCTGTCGCCACCAGAATACATTACCACAAACTTAGTGACTTAAAACAGTCCAAACCTATTATCTCGGTTTCTGTAGGTCAGTTGAACTCAATGGGATCCTCTGTTTAGTGTCTCAAAAGCCAAAATCAGGGTATCTGCAAGGCCATACTTCCTCCTAAAGGTTCTGGGGAGTAGTGTTTTTCCAGTTTGTCCAGGTTGCTGACTGAATTCAGTTTCTTGCGGCTGGAGTACTGTCTTTTCCTCGTGGCTGGCAGTCTTTGTTCCTAGAGGTTTCCTGTGACCCTTCTCATGCTTTACAGGTGGGCTCCCCAGAAACAGTAGATTGGGTCTTTCTCATGCTTCGGATCTCTCTGATGACCTCTTTTGTCACATCTCTTTGACTCTGGCCAGAGAAAGTTCTCTGCATTTGAAGTCTCGTGGGATTAGCTTAGACACCCGGACAGTCCAGGGTACTTTCTCTAATTTAAGGTCCTTAACCTGAATTATGTCTGCAAAGTCCCTTTTGCCATAGAAGGTGGTGACATGTTCAGTTTCCAGGGATTAGAGCATAGTCACCTTTGGGGGACCTTCTGTCTACCACGATCCTCAAGGAAAAGGCTTTACACTCAATGACTGCTGCTATGGGACACAGGGTCAAGGTCACACGTGATATCTGAGATGTCTTGAAGGAAAGGTGGGAATCTCCCAACAAGGAGCAGTTGACAATGACACCCTCACTTGCTAGTTTGCTTTTAGCTCATGGTGACAGATTAAAATCTGTGCCTTCACAATGGCCAGGATTCAGAAATGAGAGTCCAGTTCCCTTCTTCCATTTGGATTTATATGTCTTATATATCTTTCTCAGCTATAATCACCCAAGTATTGAAAATCAGACCCAGGCTTTTGACTGACTGTGCCACGAAGTATTATAACAAGATTTTTTTTTTTTTCCCCGATAGAGTCTGGCTCTGTCACTAGGCTGAGTGCAATGGCGCTATCTTGGCTCACTGCAACCACTGCCTCCTGGGTTCAAGCGATTCTCCTAACTCAGTCTCCTGAGTAGCTGGAATTACAGGCACGTGCCACCACACCCAGCTAATTTTTGTATTTTTAGTAGAAATGGGGTTTCACCATGTTGGCCAGGATGGTCTCAATCTCTTGACCTCGCAATCCGCCCACCTTGGCCTCCCAAAGTGCTGGGATTACAGGCGTGAGCCACCATGCCTGGCCTATACCAAGATTCGTAAAAATAGTTATACCTATCCAATCCCATTGTTCTCACTAGAAATTTGATTAATAATATATTTTAATGAGAACAAAAAGGGTTTTGTATAGTTAATAAATAAAATCAATATTTTAAAATATTTATTTCATCTGTATCAAATTTTAAGTTTGTGTTTAGATATATTTTTTTAAAACTACAGAACATATTCGTACAAAATTATTGGACATAAATCATAATAAACATGTATGTGTTAGAGGTGCATTCTCAAAAATGTTCTTATTAATCAAGTTGCTCAAGTAGGTTTTGGAAGATAAAGCTCTGGGTCACGAGACAGACATTGTGCTGGGGTAAACACAAACCTTCTGGAGATATTTTAAAACTTCCTCAAACTTCCTAAATATGCTGTGTTTCAAAATATTTGGTTCTCGGGTTGTGATTGATTTTTCAGGCAATTTAGAGAATTTCTTTTCCAAGTAGCCGCTTCCCTACACCCACTTGTTTTAGCTGAAGAACATTAAGAAAAGAAAATGTAGTTCTCTTTCAGGCACCGTTTCCCAAGGGGCAAAATGAGAGATGGGGTCTGGGCCTCATGGTTTCTTGTGTTCGGGTCCAGCAGGAGTTGAGAGCCTCTGAATGGCTGTGCTGGGGGGTTTCCTGTGCAAGACTTTACACATTTGCAGTCCCATCAATCCGGCACCTATGGGACAGGAAGCCAACAAGATTTGTGGAGCCAGATAGCCAAATAAAAAAGAATCACCTTTTACTTTCCTGAAGTTAATTAATGCTGAGTGGAGCAGGCCAAGTACAAAAACCGATCAGGCTTTCTCTGAGCAAAGACTCCACATTTTACTCATAAAGCCAAATAAGCCTGACCCTGGGACCCCCACAAATGCAGGTCAGGCCTAGCTGGGAGGTACAGAGGAACTAACACTTTTCCCTTCACACTCCTTCTGGTGTTTCCCTTCTGGGTCTTATTTTTATTCATTTTTCCAGTTTATAAAACACACTCACCGATGGGCCCTTGGGGCACATGTGGAAAAGCTTAAAAGATGCAAGTACAAAAACAGACTGACTTAGAGTCAAGAACCAAAACCCTAAGAATTCTCCATCTCGCCCCCACCCACTACTCCTGCCCTAGTGACATTACAGGCCTTCCTCTCCCATATTTCCTAAAAGGGCTATAAAGTTGGGCTTTTTCCAAAGGAAAGGGAGGTAGGTGTCAGAACTATTCTCTTACTATCTTGATCTCGGAGCCTGGTGCTGTAGCCTGAGGTAGTTTGGCAAAGGGGTTGCTTGAACAAGAGGTCAGGCCTCAGCAATGGGCAGTAAGGCCTCTGCTCCCAGGCCCTGGACAGTCTGCAGAACATCCGGGCCACTCCCAAGAATCCAGGATCCGGACCTGGTACACACATATCAGGAGCTCAGATTGCCCATCTCAGGAAGGGAAATAAAGACTATGTTCTCTGAAGGCCTAAACAACATGCTTTCATTGGCCCCATCTTCCTTCTCCTTTAAAAAGCATGCTTTCGAAATTATTTTAATCTGCTCTGTTAAACTGCTGACTGATCATCTGACAAATGGGAAAGAAAAACCAAGGAGGCCAGACGCCATTCCAGCATGGAAAAGCAGTGCCACGCTCTCAGTCCTTCTTTTATTAAATACATGTTTACTGAACACCTACTATATGCCATGGGCTAGAGCTATATCTGAAGACAAAACAGATTTGCCCCTCCTCCTGTGGCTCTTAGAGTTTAATGGGGAAGATACATTAACCAAATAACTAAGTAATTTCATGTGGGCCTCGTGCACTTTAGGGGAGACTGACATAGTCAGGGTGGGGGTCAAGGAAGGCCTTTCTGAGGGCATGCATTCAAGCTGGAACCTGAAGGACACATGGAGTTAACCAGGTGAACAGTGGAGGAAGAGCTTTTGAGGCAGGCACTGTGGAGGAGGCTGAAGGATTCAGAGACCACCACAGGCAAACAGCAAGAGGCACTGACACCAGGCCTGGCAGGCCACACTCTTAGGGTGCAGCTTTGTCCCAGGTGCAATAAGCAGACTGACATGATCTATTCATGTTTTTTAAAAAATCCCTCCTGGGGCTGGGCACGGTGGCTCCCACCTGTAATCCTAACACTGTGGGAGGCAGAGATGGGCAGATGGCCTGAGCTCAGGAGTTTGAGACCACCCTAGGCAACATGGTAAAACCCTGTCTCTACTAAAAGACAAACAAATAACTCGGTGTGCTGGTGTGCACCTATAGTCCCAGCTACTCAGGAGGCTGAGGCATGAGAATTGCTTGAACCTGGGAGGCAGAGGTTGCAGTGTGAGCCGAGATCATGCCATTGCACTCCAGATTGGGTGAAAGGGCAACATTCTGTCTCCAAAAAAAAAAAAAAAAAAACCTCGAACCTCTCCCTAGAACTGTTATTCCTGGAGCTCTGAGAAACATGGTTTGAAAAGCACCGACCTGAGGAATTGGGGTTGTGGTCTTCATTTCCATCAGTGCTTGACTTTTGTGATCACAGGAGTTGCCGTTGGATGGTTTGCTGAGAATGTTGCTGTGGCAGACAATAAAAAGAATGTGAGGAAAAACAGACACAGTTCTGGAGTGCCATGAATTAGACAAAACACACTCAGCAAAGTAGCAAATCCCCACATTGGGTAACCAGGAAGCAGATGAGAGTGGACTTCCGGTGAGCCCCGCTCTTCCTGAGGGGCGCTGCAGGCACCAGCGGCCACTGCTCACTCTGCCTTCTGCCAGACCAGCCAGACTCCTCAACCACCACAGAGAAGAAGAATATAAGGCTGTCCTATTGCTTCTCAATCAAGTGATGAAGCATAACAACTGTCAGGACTCTTTTAAACGATTTGTCCTGAGGTCTGTGAACACGTCCTTCCTGAGGCAAAGGAAAACAAAACAAAACAAACCATCATGCACAGCTTTGGCACACCTGTCTCAAAGTGTCCCTGAGGACCAGGATCTTTGACTCCCCTGCCCAGAGGAAGCTTCCAGAAGAACACTGTTCCCCAGTGGCTGTTACGCTGTGGTATTTTTCACAGGAAAGGGAAGTGGGGTCTCTGTGAGAATCAGCCACCTGCCCCATGTTCTCCCAAAGTTGACATAATGCCTGGACTGTATTCTGCTCCGGCTCTCTTCACAGACCCTGAGTGGGGAGAGGGGCAGTGCTCTGTGATTCATTCATCCTGCTTCCACCCTTCATCTAGCACATGAATAAATGAAAGAGAAGGTGTACTCAGCTGAAAGGAAAATAAAGACGAAGGGAATAAGAGACACCCCCCTGGCCAAAACATGAAAAAATAGGCCATTTTTTCAAAAAGCCATTGCATAGGTTAAAATTGCCCCAGGGAATGTTTAACTTGCTCCCTGGTCATTTATTTGAGCTTTAGGCCACTCTTGGGCTGTGGTGCTTAATGGAAAGAGTATTTACCTTAGCAACCGCAGCAAACCAGGGATCCAGCAGGCATGCTGGGAGGACACAAAATACCTTCACAAAGGAGGCCATCAGCTAAGAAAATGTCAGACTTCACATTTGGGGATGGCATCAAGGGATCTTTTAAAAATATTTTTCTGTTAATGATGACTGAGGGTAGAGAAAGAGAAGGAGACAAAAAAGGCACATTCGAGTTTCCCTACTATTTTTCACCACTGCCCCTGCTTTTCCCTGCTCTCCCTCCTCTGTTGAACGGTACACAAGCAGGTAAGGCAGACTGGGTAGGAAAGGATCACTTGGGAAAAGGTGTTTGGAAAGCAATGTCTTTCTTCTGCCATCTTGTTGCCAACAGTCACCAGTATACACACAGGAAGCTCCATGTAAAATCCTAGAGGTCATTTTCCCCACAAGCCAAAAAGTAAAAGGTATCCACATGTATGCTCTTTCTGTTCCCCATATCCAGTCTTTCTGCTTCCCACACTTCAGTGTATAACACTGGCAGGGCGCAGTGGCTCACACCTGTAATCCCAGCACTTTGGGAGGCTGAGGGGGGCAGATCACTTGAAGTCAGGAGTTCAAGACCAGCCTGGCTGATGTGGTGAAACCCCATCTCTACTGAAAATACAAAAGTTACTTGGGCATGGTGGCTCGTGCCTGTAATCCCAGCTACCCAGGAGGCGGAGGCAGGAGAATTGTTTGAACCTGGGAGGCGGAGGTTGCAGTGAACCAAGATCACATCATTACACTCCAGCCTAGGAGACAAGGGTGGAACTCCACCTCAGAAAAAAGAAAAAAAAAAAAAGCATAACATTTCACTTGCCTATATCTAAATCAGGCCTACGGCATGCACACGTTTTTACACAGAAAGAATTCAATTGGACCAGATGATATGGTGATAGCCTGAATGTTAAGGCCCAGACCACCAAAAAAGAAGCAATAGCCATTTGTACTTTCCAAAACGTTGCAGCACGTTCTCAACCTGGTGACTTAGCAGAAACCCCAAGGCAGAGCTCCTCCAGCTTTTCACGGGGAGGCTTCCTCATCAATGGGGCAGCTGCCATCTGGGAATCTTACCGCAAGCTACAGGAATGCAGATCAAGCATGGACCTCAAACCCACCCGGCTCCACACATACACACATCACCTGAGACATCACCATCTCAAATATGATTGTTCACCCTCAAAGCTGAAAAAGCACAGTCTTTAGTGCTGGCAACAGAATAGACATCTGACCTTTTAGGACTGAATTAGCAAAGGCAGGCTCTATACTTGTTAGCACAGGCTAAGGTGCAGTAACAAATGAACCGAAATGCAGTGACTAAACACCACAGAAGTTTATTTCTTGCTCATGTAACATCTTGAGCAGTGCTCCGGTCTGTGAGCAACTCCTTCCACCGAGTCTTTAAAGGCACCAGGCTCCTTCTGTCATGAGGCTCTGCCATGTACAGAAGCTTCACTCCCTGGGGTTGGTGAAAGACAAAAAGGATATAGAAGAGTGTTGGCCTGGAAGAGGTACACGCCACCTCCACTTACATTCCCCTGGGGAAGAATCGTTGTGTCTCTGTTCAGATGTAAGAAAGGGGCTGGGCAGCTCCTCCCCAGTGGCAACGCTATATGGAAAGGAAATGGCTACCTCTTCCACAGTAACTCTGAATTCATGTACTCCTATGCTCCCAGGAAAAACCTTGGTTTATACATGATGAATAAGATAGAAACTACGTTCATTTCACTTTACTTCTACTTTCTATTTAAGGTTGGGGGCAAGGCATGTTGGCTCACGTCTGTAATCTAAGTGCTTTGGGAGGCTGAAGCAAGCAGATCACTTGAGGTCTGAGTTCAAGACCAGCCTGGCCAACATGGTGAAACCCCATCTCTACTAAAAATACAAAACATGGCTAGGCATGGTGGCAGGTCCCTGTAATACCAGCTGCTGGGGAGGCTGAAACAGGAGAATCACTTGAACCCAGGAGGCAGCAGTTGTAGTGAGCGGATATTTCACTGTTGACATTTTGGGCAGGAGAAATCTTTGTTGTGGGGGTCTATCCTGTGCACTCCAGCCTGGGCAGCAGAGAAAGACTCCATCTCAAAATTTTTAAAAAAAAAAGGTTGTAGAGATGATCAAAGAAGAGGAAGGCCAGGTAGAAGTCACTTACCTCCCTTTTATTCGATTTGACTGGTTAGTGCATGAGTGGTGTCTTAGCAGCCCACGCCACCCTACCCCAGGCTTAACTAAGTGTGAAGATCTTCATTGGTTCCAATGTCAGAAAGAGGATGAAGTCCAAATGCGTCCAAGTCCTGTTCATTCTGTTCCTGGCCTGCTTTATTGGTTTCTTCTTCTGTCTCCTCTTCCTATCATCATTCAGCCTGCACACCAGCCACATCCAGCTCTCCCTACCCGTGCCTGCCATGCTCTTTAGTGCCTTCGCACCTGTGCACACTGTTTCTTCAGCATAAAACGCCCTTTCCCCTCTGCTGTGTCTGGCAAACTTCCACCACTGTTCAAGATGCAGCTCAAGCATACCCTTGCTCCCCGCCCTTAGTCCCATAATCCTTTGAGCATGCATCCATTAAAGCACATAGCTTACTTTGTGTCTGTCTCCAATTAGACCAGCAGTTCTCAACCAGAGGCAATTTTACCGAACACCCCGGGGGACATTTGGCAATGTCCAGAGACATTTTTAGTTGTCACAACTGGGGGGTGGGAGTGATACTGGTGTCTAGTGGGTTGAGGCCAGGGATGCTGCTAAACATCCCATAATGCACAGGACAGACCCCCACAACAAAGAGTTCTCCTTCCCAAAATGTCAACAACAGTGCAGAGGTTAAGAACCTCTGAATTAGATAGTGAGTTTCTCAGAGCAAGGACATCCCATTTCTTTGGAATTATCCTAGCAATATCACAGTGCTGTACAATGTACATAGTAGGTTTTCTATGAATGTTAAATGGAAAGATGGTTAGATAGATAACAGATAGATAATAGATGAGAGATAGATAGGTAATAGATAGTTAATAGATGAGAGATAGATAGGTAATAGTTAATAGATGAGAGAGAGAGAGAGAGAGAGAGAGAGAGAGAGAGAGAGAGAGAGAGAGAGAGAGAGAGAGAGATCAATCTATCAATCAACATTAGAGCAGGCCACATAGACTGAAGAACTGTGAAGCCAAGCTTATCTCCTGAGTTGTCTTTGACCTGAAAAGATGCAGAATCTTCAAACTTAAGCTTCCATGGCCAGAGAACAACCGGTTAAACTGCAGGAGCTGCCGAAGAGAGACCCCAGGAGCAGGAGGACTCTTCTTGGAGCTTACCACTAAATTCAGCAGTTCATTAAACACATTAGACACAATTTCAATACAGAGCTGTTAGTGTCTTTCTTTTTTTTTTTTGGCAACTCGTATTCTGCTAATTGATTTGTATAATATGTATAATATAAATTATGTTTATCAATGTAAATAATTTGCATTCTGAACTTGTTTGTTTTACTTTATGCATCTTCACACACTTTAGTCCCTGGGAACCTTGAGGAACAAAGTGTTACATAAACTGGTTAAAAAGTGTGTTTTCAGGAATAATGTATTTTTTAAACCAGGCTATTTTTTTTTTTTTTCTTTTGGAGACAGAGTTTCACTCTTGTGGCCCAGGCTTAAGTGCAGTGGCACAATCTCGGCTCACTGCAACCTCTGCCTCCCCATTCAAGATGTTCTCCTGCCTCAGCCTCCTGAGTAACTGGGATTACAGGCATGTGCTACCAGGCCTGGCTAATTTTGTATTTTTAGTAGAGATGGGATTTCTCCATGTTTGTCAGGCTGGTCTCAAACACCCAACCTCAGGTGATCCATCTGCCTCGGCCTCCCAACATGCTGGGATTACAGGTATGAGCCACCACACCCAGCAACTAGGCTTATTTACCTGTGGTTTGCTTGCTGCTACTGAGGCAAGAGATAGGTGATTATTAGGCCCAATCTGACATCACCCCCTGGGCATACCCCATCCCAGCTCCTGCAGAACTTCCAGTTAGAAAAGCAGCAACTGCAGCACATGCTCCAGCACAGAAGTGATCCCCTCAACTCACCTCCTCATCCCCATGGACTCCAGCTGTCCCTCTTCTATCACCAAACAGGCTGACGACAACCACAGCTGAACAGGATGTCAAAGGGCAGCCCCTGCCCACTGGTTACTCCGGGACTGTGGCCCAGGCCTCTACAGACAGCGAGCCCAGAGGTCTGTAGGGCCCTCTCCCTAAGTGTGCCCCAAACTCTGTCATGCCCAGGGGACTCTGGGGCTTTTGACAAGCATGTTCAGCTGAGGTCAGAGCAGCCCGATCCCAAGAGCTTTAACTACGCAAACGCGTACTTTGTACTTGGCAAACGCTCTGTGCCAAGTGCTGTGCTAGAAGCTGGAGACTTAAAGAGAAATTTTTGAAAAAACAGAGCTACAGACATGCAGACAAATAATTACAGGGCTGTGTGTCAGGGCAGTGACAGTCATAAGGATGAAGGGCTATGGGAACAGAGAAGCCCGAGCCAGACGCAGGGCCTGGCCCTGGCCATTCCCCTGCAGAGGAGAAAATGATGGCTGGCTGGAGGTGGGGGAGGGGCAGTGTCTGACCTACAGTCCCATCTAGGTCCCCAGGCTGAGGTTCTCTACAACCCTGATGACAGCCCAGGACCACTCCTCTGCCTTGAACTTCACAGGGAGCCGAGCTTCCCTCTTACAAACCCCACAAGATTCCCTTTCTCAGGAGACGGTGGAGGGTCAATAGCTAAGTCCAGCCTATCAAGAGTGGGGCCCACTGGGGCCTGCGGGTCTCCCACAGACTAAACATTTATAACCCTGAACTCCCACCGATGTCAGTCTGGCTGGACGGCACAGTTGGACACCTCAAAAGGCTGTCCACTCCCTGTCTGAGAATAAACAGGACCAGATTGGATTTTTTTTTTATGACTGTGTGTGTGTGTGTGTGTGTGTGTGTGTGAGAGAGAGAGAGAGAGAGAGAGAGAGAGAGAGATTTCCTTAACTCAGAGGTCAGCAGAGGCTCAGCCCTGCCCACCTCAGCCCCCACACACCAATCTCTCAGCCCACAGACTTTCCCAGGAGTCTGTCCCCCTCCCCCACACCCTCCCAGATGCTCTCTAAGCCTCTGACCATGGATGCCTCCTTGAAGACTGACCCTCACATCTCTCTGGCCTCCCCCTCCAGGAGTTATTATCCCAATGCTGCTGATTTGTTCAAAACCCATAGCCTGAAGTCTGAGCTGCAATGTCCTATTGTGGACAATACCTGAGGCCGTGGCTTGAGTGTCAGCATTACACTGGTGGTTCAGCCTGGGGTAAATGGGTGGCTTAAGGTTTCTATCCGAGACTGAAGAATCTGCCCTTTCAGCCCCCACCGTGGCCCCCTTATTGTTCCAGTAGAGCCAACCCTGGCTCTTAAGAACTTTCCTGGTAAACACCCCAGTGCCCAGTGAACTACGCAGTTTCATTGCATGAGAAACACTTTATTCCCCAAATTTCTCTCAGGTTAGGGGATAGAGATCTGATACACATGGAACCAGGGACCTAGTACACAGGAGCTCTAAACTTGTCCCATAAACATCTATCTGTCCACCCCCCAGTCTTCTCCCTTCCTCTCCCAGCAGATGCAGCCTCAGCCTCACCCCAGGCTCTCTTTCTCTGCCTCTGCTTCTCCTAGACCAGGGGATGCCAAACTATGACAGCTCAAGGAAGCTGCTCCACAGCTTCCATGAAGTCCCTTCCACACAGCCCCACCAGAACACCCTCAGTGGGGAGTCGTAATTATGATGAAGGGTGAGTCCAATTTCAAACTTCCCGGAATTCAGAGGGGTCCAGTGTGCATCTTTAATTTAATTACTATTTATTATTTATCATCCCTTCATAACCCGAGAAGCTTCAAATCTTTAAAGAATTAGATGTGTACTACTAAGATCTGCAACCCAGAGTGTAACAGATAAATCACTGGCTTCCTTCCTTTAAAAAAAAAATGTTTAACATCTTTACCATTTCTGCTTCTCCCTAAAATGTGTTTACCCTGAATTAACCTTACAGAAAAAAAATTCCTTCCCCAGGGAGCAAGAGGAGGGCAGGTATACTGAGAGTCAACTCAAAGCTGACCTTTAACCTTCAGCCTTTTCATCAGAAGATTGACCATATATTAAGCTGAGGGCAGCTGCTGCCGCCCTTGGCCCTCATCCTTATCATGAATCAGATGCCTCTTCTCCCAGGCTGGCTTCAGTCCAGAAGTTCAGCTTAGCCAGCACAGATAGTGTTCCCCATGTCCAGGCTGCTTCCAGAATCCAGGACACTCCCATTGCCTTCAAAAAGCAGGGCCACCATCAAGAACCCACACAGCCAAGACTAGTAAAGACCAGACCTGGAGGGGAGACTTGCTCTGCTGAGCATCCCTTAGCCCCAAGAATATCCTTCTCATCATTCAATTTGATGCCTAAAATCCCTTCTGCAAGCAAGCAAGACTTTTACCCTATGATTGGAGCTGAGGCTACAAAATGCCCCAAAAAGTAACTCACTGGCTTTAGTTCATGTTTCCAAGGACTAATAACTTCTAGAGTTGGTCTTTGAGGGGCTTTCAAAGAGCATGCCAGAAGGCATGGAAGCAGCAACCTCTGGTGGGAAGAACTTGGCATTTGAATTAGACAGACTTGAATTGAAATCCTGGCTTCATCCCATACTGGCTGTGTGATCTTAGCTGAGTTACTTAACTTCTCTGAAGGTCAGTTTCTTCATGTGTAAAACAGTTAAATCATTGGGTTGTCATAAAAAGTAATGGTGATGGCATAAATAAAGTGCCTGACATATAGATGGTCAACTTTCTTCTGTCTCTTGCCCAGGGGAAACTCTTTAAAAAAAAAAAAAAAAAAGGAAAAGAAACAAACAAAATGAGACTTTACTTGTTTCACCATTGAGTCCAGAATCAGTACTAACTCCTCGGAGATAATAAATAGAAATTCATAAGTAAAATAAGCTTTAAAAACTGGGGAAGCCACACTTTCGTAGGAGGTTTACATGACAGCATATTTTTAATCTATATTCTGTACCACGGGAAGGGTAAATGTTTTCTATAAAGAGCCAGATAGTAAATACTTTTGGCTTTGAGGGCCAGTCTCAGTCATGACTATTCAACTCCACCATTGAAAGTAGCCATAGACTTAGATAGCATAGATGCATAAAAAAACAGGCATGGCTATGCTCCAATAAAACATTATCTGCAAAAGCAGGCGGTGGTCTGGATTTGGCCCCTGGGCTGCAGTTTGCCAACTCCTGTTCTATACCAACCTGTCCCAACAAGTTTCATGACTTTTGAGCATCACGGGGCTATCTCTGAAGCTCTTGCCATATTTCACACTGAAGTCTGGAGGAGCACTGAACCCTTGGGCATGTCCAGCAGTTTATCACCCTCTAGACTAACACTAAGTTGGGCGAGTCAACTTCTGTTAGGTTTTCGATGATGATTGCTCATAGCTGGGGAAATACGCTGTGTCCCAACCTAGGCCATCTGGCCACATGAAGTTTGGCTTAGCTTCTCCAAGGAGGACTCAAGGCTAAAGGGGTAAGCAATATGCAGAACACTTTGCCTCCTTCATATCTATTATCTCAACACATTTCAAAACAAAGCCATAGAGACAGTAGATACCATTACCCCACCTTACAGACCTAACAGCGGAGGCAACAGGGAGGATACTGAACAGCCAAGATTTTATGGTTGGCTAATTAGTCACATGAGAAATAAAATGCAGTTCTTGCTCTTTCTGCCATATCACAGCATCTCCCCCTGCCCAGTTTGTCCTGCTTTTTCCCTTGATTTTAGAACTTGTGAGGGGTGGCCGGGGACAGTGGCTCACACATGCAATCCCAGCACTTTGGGAGGCCAAGGCAGGTGGACCTTGAGGTCAAGAAATTGAGACCATCCCGGACAACACAGTGAGACCTTGTCTTTACTAAAAATACAAAAATTAGCTGGGTGTGGTGGCAGGCATCTGTAATGCCAGCTACTCGAGAGGCTGAAGCAGGAGAATCACTTGAACCCAGGAGGCAGAGGTTGCAGTGAGCCGCAATCGTGCCACTGCACTCCGGCCTGGGCAACACAGTGAGACTCTGTCTCAAAAAAAAAAAAAAAAAACTTGTGAAGTGGCAGTGAGCAGACATCTCCCACACTGAAAGGGACCCAATATTTTAAAGAGTAGAGAAAACGTGAATTAAGAAGCTCATACAGATAGGAATTAATGACTTGCTGTGTGTGATTTGTGATGTCCCAGGCATACTGCAAAGATTATGTCTCATTTCAAAGAGCTACCTCTGTGGCCTGGAAGCCGGTTTAAGGCAGGCGGGCCAGGGCCAAGGCTGCCAATGTGAGTCATCAGCCCCCAGGCTGGGGCTTTTCTGCACAATGCCACTGTACAATCATCCTAACTTGTTCCTGGCAGTTTGCTTCTTTGTCCAAGCAGGTCATTAAGCAGGTAAAATTGACCTTGATCTATTTAAGAACATCTTTTAAAACAACAGCTGTTCTAAACAGGGTGTCGAGCATTCGTGCTCATCCTGGAGATACTGCTCAGTATCTGGAAGGATTCCATAACGCATGGAGGAGTGAAGGATTCTGTGGCTTCCTAAAATTAGGGAAATCGTGATTTGGTCAGAAGTATTAGTTGATTGAAGAATTTAAGCCTCATTTCTGAGCGGGTTCCCTTTCCCTTTGCCAAATGTACATTTTTACACTCTGCCTTTGCCCCATGAATTTACATCTAAATTGCCTCTAATTCTTTGAAGTAAGGGCTAGATATAAATCTTACCCAGTAATGACTAATGTCTATTGAGAGCCAACTCCATGCCAGGCACTCTGCATGCAATAACTCATGCCATGCTTACAATAACCTCACAGTTGAGTTAGTATTGTCTCCATTTTCCAGACAAAGAAGAATCTCAGAGAAGGCATAGTTTCAAATGATACTCAGGATCCGAACTCAGGTAGGTGCGTCTTTTAGTCCTGTCTTTGCTACTTGTACTCACTCATAGATGTATCTCTCTTTCATAAATCTCAAATAAAGTTTCTAGGGGCCAGGCAAGGTGGATCACACCTGTAATCCTAGCACTTTGGGAGGCCGAGGGGGGTGGGTCGCCTGAGGTCGGGAGTTCAAGACCAACCTGACCAACATGGTGAAACCCCATTTCTACTAAAAATACAAAATTAGCTGGGCATGGTGGCACATGTCTGTAATCTCAGCTACTCGGGAGGCTGAGGCACAAAAATCACTTAAACCCAGGAGGCAGAGGCTGCGGTGAGCCAAGATCGT